TTATTATTATCATTGACATTATTATTATTATTGTTGACATTATTATTATTATTGACATTATTATTATTGTTGGCATTATTGTTATTATTATTGTTGCCATTATTATTGTTGTTGGCATTATTTATATTTTTGTTGACATTATTGTTGTTGTTGACATTATTATTAATGTTGACATTATTGTTGTTATTATTATTGTTGTTATTATTATTGTTGGCATTATTATTATTATTGTTGACATTATTTCCGTGAAGATCAATACATTCTGTGAGTCAGTGTAACTTGATCTCTCCATGACTAACATGACAAGTTTATAATGTAGCATCTTACTGTGATATTTACCTGTGGGTGGATGTGGCACCAGGTGAAGTGAGTTTCACGTGGACTCCAGCAGCAGCTTCAGCCTGGCTGGCTTTCTGTGAGAGGACAAGCTGCTGTTTCTGAGCTCTCTAAAAACAGACTCTCTCTTAGCTGGTGCTGTGAAAATATTCCAGGTGATGAGAAAGAAACAGCTCAACCTTTAAAGCAGCTGGTGGTGGATCCACAGACAAAATCCTCCTGAGTGAAATGCAGCTACATACAAGTGCTCCCTGGCTTTATGCAGAAGTTGTGACCATCATATCTTCTGATCGCTTGGATCCACTGCCTCCTTTGGTCTGGGTACATCATGAAAAGCATGGTAGGACAGATACGGTTGTTTTCTTGCCCCACAAGAACAACCAGGAACTGAACAAAAGCATCCGTGCCGAGACTGAGCCATTTTCCTCACTGTCTAATGCTAACGCTACAGCCACCGGAAGTTGTTGAACACCACATCCGCTTTAAAACCCAGAAGCGTGAAAAAGGTATATTTCATTTATATGCAGATGACTGTCAAGTCTATTTCCCTTTGAAACATAATGGCTCCACTCAGTCTCTCCTGGACTGTTTTGATGACATTAGAGGATGGATGGTACTTAATTTCCTCCATTTTAATGAAAAGAAAACTGAGGTTATGGTCTTTAAATCCTGTGGCCCTAGCAGTTTCTCCACCTTGGATTTTTCCTCTTTGGCCCCATATGAAAAATCCATTGTGACAAATTCAGGAGTGAAAATGGACCCTGCCTGAAACTTGACTGCCATGTCAACAATGTGGTTAAGTCCTCTTTCTTTCAGCTGAGGCACCTGTCAAAAATCAAGCCCCTCCTTCCTAGACACCACTTAGAGACAGTAATCCACGCTTTTATTACTTCACGCCTGGATTATTGTAACGCTCTGTTGATAGGAGTTAGCCAGGCCTCGCTCTCATGGTTACAGCTGGTACAAAATGCTGCTGCACGATTTTTGACTGGTACAGGCATGAGCACATCACTCCAGTTCTGATGTCCCTTCACTGGCTTCCTGTCCAGTTTCCAATCCATTTTAAAGTTCTATTGTTTGTTTTTAAGTCTTTGCACGGTCTTAGTCCCTCTTACTTGTCTGACCTGCTTCACTTTTACATACCATCACGTGCACTTAGATCCTATGACCAGATGTTTTTAGCAGTCTTGAAAACCTTTTATAAATCCAGTGGAGCCAGAGCCTTTTCAGCTCTGGCTCCTAAATTGTGGAATGAGCTGGAGGTCAGGCAGGCCCCGTCACTTTCTGTTTTTAAAACTCATTTAAAAACACATTTTTTTCATTGGCTTTTAACCTAGAGTGAGTCAGCATCTGTGTCTTAATGTTGGATTCTTTTACTGGTGATGTTCTGATCATTTTTTAAAAATATATATTTAGGTTTTTTTATTGTTTTGCTGTTTTTTGTTTGTTTTTAATTTTGTACAGCACTTCGGAAGGCTGCTTGTTGTATTTTAAGTGCTTTAGAAATAAATTGGTATGGTAATTGTTGGATGTAACTGGGACCCTGTGTACACAATTTTATTCCACCACATGTATCACATGTGGTGTGAATGACAAATAAAAAAACCTTAACTTTAACATTATGTAATCTATTACATAAATTCTATGATTTTCTTTCACATAGTGTCCAATTTTCCTTTCCTTTCCTTTCATGTTACATGTTGTTAGCTTCATGTTTGTTAATATTTGTGGTTTGTCGACCTTTCTTTGTAGAAGTTTCATACTTTTATGATTTTTTATGTTTTTTTTTCTTCCTCAGGTCTTCATATGAGGCAGCTCAGGACTGGATCTTACCGGTTCAGTTTTGTCAGCTCCACAATCTGAAGCTCAGTCCGGTTTATCCCAGCCACTGTGCTGACCACAGACAGGTCGTCCACTTCTTAGTGTTTGTCCAGCTCCACAACTTCCCACTTCAGCAGGTAAACACCCCACCCCCATCCTACCTATGTTTTTAGAGGAATATCCATTTGGCAGTGCTGATACTTCTGTTAACTTACTTTAAATGTGAATATTTCTGTTCAGTGCCCTGAGACAACTTCTGTTGTGACTTGGTGCTGTATAAATAAACTGAATTGAATTTAACAAAGTCCATGCTCAATAATCCAGGTATACAATCCAACATTTTTCAGTCAGGTCATCTGGACAGTTTCTTTTTTTGTGCTGAAACGTTTCACCTTCGATCGAAAAATGTTGGATTGTATACCTGGATTATTGAGCATGGACTTTGTCGTTTTCAACCAGTTTGACAAGACTGTCAACAAGGAAGATGGCCGGCAATGGAGGGGGGGGGGGGGGGGGGCGTACCAAAGAGACCATCTAATCACCAGCAGAACTGTTTTGTTCAACTTTGCAGTAAGCTGTTGGAGGAAGAATCAGTTTTGTTGTGTTTCCTTGACTGATGAAGCCTTCTGGACTGAAGGCAAAACGTTTCAGCACAAAAAAAGAAACTGTCCAGATGACCTGACTGAAAAATGTTGGATTGAATTTAATTGAATTTCTGTTCCTTTTGGATCAAACTACCTATTCTGACCATATTTGGCTCTTCCTGTAGGTGCAGTCCTTGGTCTCTCGGTTCGGCCCTTCGCTGGAGGCCCACTTGAATCTTGTGTTCCAGGACTTGCAGGTCCACAGACAGGTGCAGTCAGGATGTCTGAGAACAGAAGAGACTTCTGGGCGTCAGAATCATCCTACCGACATGTTCCAGGTTCTCCTGCAGAGCCAGGAGGAGCTGGTGCCATGCAGGTACCTCCTACACAAAGCCCTGGATCAGCGGTGCCCAGTGCTGGCAATCCTGGCTTCCTGCCTGCAGGTACATGACTCTCCATATGAAAACTGTAAAACTGAACAACACACACAGACCCAGATCCATCAACAGTTTCCTATTACAAGTTTCCACTCAGCCGTTCTGTGGATGACACACTCCTTCTAGGAACCTGAAGAGCTCTTTGCTGCTGTCTGCTCCCTGTGATCCTATCAGCTCCTAGAGCTTTTCCCTCTTTCGTTATCTCCCCTAATTACTGTCAAACGATCAGATTTTTTTACTGGAGCAATGACGTAACAACCTATTACATCAGATTAGACATCTAGGGTCTGATTAGAATCTGGATGAATTGATTTGTTTGCTCTTTTGGACCCTGAGATGACCTCTGTTAAAACTGCTGTTATCTAAGATGAACTGAAACCAGATTTATCCCCAACACTGACAAGTGGTTTCTAAAAGGGACTGAGCACCGAATCTTACTGTTACTGTAACGTTTTAGTTCCTGAGCACTGTGACTGAAGTGCTGTGGCTTTCAGAGGGGGATCAGTCCCACAGAGGGGGATCAGTCCCACAGAGGGGGATCAGTCCCACAGAGGGGGATCAGTCCCACAGAAGCTCTGGTTCATTTCATTCTGCTCTAACAATTAGGGCTGGGCCATATCATATCGTTCATGATAATACCAGTAAAAAAGCTTGCCCGGGAAAATAAATTGTATCATGATATGCTAATTTCATGGCATAAATACGTCAGTGTTTCCTCTACCATTATACAGGCGGGGCGCCCCACCCCCTTAACAGAACTGAGCGCGCTGAACTACTGAACCGAACTACGCACCCCCTCCACTCCACCGTTACTGGTGTAACGCTAAGCTAGCAGTGCACAATAAAGCTACAAAGCTAAAGGCATTGCTCACGCTGCCTCTACCCTCACGCTGAAACCCCCCCCCCCCCCCCCCGCTCCAAACTTCCGGTACAAACGCAGCTTTGCTTTTTCTCTCTCCTCAACCCGCTCTGAGCTGCCGGTGCGGGCGCAGCTCGGCTGTGTCTCCTTCGCTCTAAACTGCCGGTACAAACATGCACAGCTCAACTGTGTCTCGTTGAGTTCCACGGTTGGTCCATGGACCAAGAAAAGAGGCAGGTAATCAGACAGCGCAGTCAAAGAAATGAAATCATTCCTGCAAGAAATAGAGGAAGCTGAAACACCACAAGCTAGGATAGCTTGTGGTGTTTCAGATAGGAATAGAGGAGAGAGAGAGGGATAAAGGGAACACAAATCAACATAATTGAAGTCTGACTCTAGACCCGCGGAAAGAGAAAAAAAAAAAAAAACGACAAAACCGAGAAACCACAACAACAAACAACATATATAATATCCTGATGCATGCTCAATAATCCAGGTAGAAAAACCTAAAAAGTTAAATCTGGTCCTCTGGACATTCAAAAAAAACAAAACAAAGCAAAACAACAAAAAATGTAGAAACGTTTCGTCTCTCATCCTGAGGACTTCCTCAGTCTGAGGTGCTGTATTCAGCTCAGTCTCTTAAATAGCACAGTCTCAGAGTGGATCAACCAGTTTTGCTGCTGACAACCAAAACCAGCTGATCACATGCTCAAGAAGGACCATCAGCCTAACAATGGATCATTAGCACCTGATGGCTGTTTACTATTCACAGAGGGCTGAGTGATACTAGCAATCACAGCATTGTAAGAGGGGGACAGTTGAACACGGAGGCCTCCACCCCTGTTTAATGATGGACGGTTTCTTTTCACAAAGATGGCCTCCTTTACTCCTCTCTCAAACCATCGGTCCTCTCTGTCCAGGATGTGAACATCTTCATCCCTGAAAGAGTGACTGCTGGCCTGGAGATGAGTGTAGACCTCAGAGTCCTGGCCTGATGATGTTGATCTTCTGTGCTGGTCCATCCTTTTGGCCAGTGGCTGTTTAGTTTCCCCGATGTAAGACTGATCACCCTCCTGACACTGAACAACATACACAATATTACTCTGTTTGTGCCGGGGGACTGGATCTTTGGGATGAACCAGTCTTTAATGTATTCTGGGGTTTAAAAGCCACTGGGACGTTATGTTTAGAAAATAAACGTCTCAGTTTCTCTGATACTCCCTCAACATATGGAATGACCACTGGTCTGGGTCTGGCTTCCTCCTTTTCACCTGATGGCTGACTGGAGTCCTGTTTGGGTTTCTTCTTTCAGGAAGGCCCAGTTAGGATATCCACATTGCTCTAGAGCCTGTCTTGTGTGGGATTTCTCCTTCTGCCTGGCTCCTGAGCTAGTGGGGACACTGTCTGCTCTGTGGTACAGAGTCCTGATGACTCCTAACTTGTGCTCCAAAGGGTGATGGGAGTCAAACTGCAAATACTGGTCTGTGTGGGTGGGTTTGTGGTACACCTCAGTTTGCAAATGTCCTCTATCAGAGACTGAGACCTCACAGTCCAAGAAAGCCAACTTGCCATTTTTTTCATCTTCTCGTGTGAACTTGATGTATGTATCCACAGACATTAATACGATTCTGGCGGCCCAAACAATTGTTGTTTATCTGAAGTTGGCCTGCCTGCTGGCCTTGGACAAGCCAACTTATTATCTCAAACTGTTCCCGGAGGACATGTAAACCTGATGCTCAAAGATGGTTTCTCTCGTTTTACATAAATGGATTCTTTCACCCCCTCTCAAACTATCTGTCTTCTCAAAGAGAAGAGACGATGTGGCCTTTGGTTGTATTTTTTACTTGCAGTAACAATGACTGAGTGTTGGAGATGATGTGGCATTTGTTTGTATTTACTTCTTGCAATAATGGTGACTGGGTGTTGGAGAGAATGTGGTTTTCAGAGACTTCCTCCCTGTTTCTTTGACAGAAACCAGAATGGCTGTCCTGTCTCTGTGTGTGGCTGCTGACCTCTGTTGATGCTGTTACTGCTGAGATAGCTTCTGCTCACCTGGCTGAAGCTCCCCAGCACCACGAGTGGACCCTGCAGGACCTGTCAATCATCTGGAGGACGCTGTTGGGGCGGGGTCATGTCATACCCCTTCTCCATGGCTTTAAGCTCTTCCAGAGGGTAAAATGGGATTTTATTTCTAACGTTTGGTGGTGGTTTTAGTCTCCCCTTAATATTTAACTTATTGAGGCAGTAAGACCCCATCTGAAGAACAAACCCGTTTTGTGCTCATTTCTCAGGACTGCCCTCTGGTTTTAATGCTGAGGATGTTTGAGTTGTGCTGCGACTACAGAAACTTCACTGAGGCCAAAACCAAGTTACTGGACTTCCAGAAAACACTCATCACTGTGAGTTCCTCCTGTCAGTTTTATTCAAAATGACTACGTTAGCTGAGCATTAATTCACTCACAAAATATCAAATTCAAAGTTATTCCTTGTTTTTGTCTGATGAGGCATAAAGATCAGATAATAATATGTTCAAAACAACAAAAATGTGTCTGTAGAATAGTTGGAGCTTGATGAAACTACCTCCAAGTGTCAGAGAGGTGTTTTCTTGCGGTAATAGTAAACTAGGTGACAGCTTAATCTCTAAACTTGTTGTTGTGGTGCAGCTCAGGAACGGAGGCCCAGTGCCGTCCGACAGCCTCCCAGTGCAGTGGGTGGAGAGCCAAGCATCAGTGCTGCTCCTCACGATGCTGCAGCGCTGCTCCTCCCAGTACGACCTCCACCGACTGCTGCAACTCCTGGCTGATGTCGACAACATCCTCAAATCAACCGGTGAGATGTTCCAAACCGTCATCGTCTACCTCCAGAAGATGTGTGTGTTCCTGATGCAATTCAGCTCTCGAGCATCCGCCTCAAACAGATGAATACTGCTCTTCTAAGGAATGGAGAAAGTCACATATGTAGAATTTTGTGATCAGGACATGACAAATTCACCCATCTATACATACATGCATACATACATATACATGCTTATACATACAGGTCCTTCTCAAAAAATTAGCATATTGTGATAAAGGTCATTAT